TTAAATTAATTGCTAAGACACACAAAAAATAATAAAATAATGCTAAAGTAATTTTGTGTCAGTTATGCAGGTTTAGAGCCAGAATTATGTGACCATAACCTTTTAAAAATGACTCTATGCTGTTCTTGACTAGAATAATTGAAGTAGCAAGTAGAAGAAGTAGGGTTTAATGCAGCACTGTCTGTTTTTGAAGTAAGCTTTTATTTTGATTTGAGAATCTATAATTACTGTGTATTTTGCCATGGATGCATCAAAATCAAGAATTGGTCTTACAGCATTAGACTAGAACGAAGTGGGTCAAATAGAGAGTTAGATTTTGGGTTCTTGTTATCCATACTTTCGGATTAATCCTGGTACAATTACATGAAATCCCTATACCAAGAGATTTTGATGTATGAACTAATGGGAGATGCTGAACCATTTTAAAATGTTATAGGTATAGTAATGTTAAAATATGTATTAAAAATAACCTAACTCAAGCTACAAAATCATAAGTAAAATAACCAGAAGATAAAAATATAAAGGCAAACTAGTAAATATAATTTATAAAGTTTGGGGATATCTTATAGTTAATGAGTAGGAAAATCCCAAGAGAAAGTAGCTAAATAATTTAATAATTCAATGTTGGTCTAAGTTAGGGAAAAACAAGTCATATCGCTGTCCACCCCAAAATGTTGGCAAATTTCCTCCTTGGGCTGGCTAGGGATCCCCAAGCCTCAAGCCACCCCTCAGAATAAAAAATTTTTTTACCTATCATCTCACCCTAATAACAGTGGAGGGGGGCTAGAAATCCAAAATCTTTGGGGAAAAAATCTTACATACTTTTAGATGTCTTCTTTAATCCTGACTCATAAAAATACACAATAAAAAAAGCCAAATTGCAATAAAAAAATTGTATCCCAATTTTTTTTGATGGGACAGTTTTAATATAATTGGACAAAGTACTAAATATTTGGAGGAGATATAAAGATATATGACAGTTATCACCAGGTCTATTGCCCTTGTATCCTGTCAGAATATTTATATCAACAGACATTTTGTGCTAAAAAGAAATCAAAGGTGTATATTGCCAAGTCACTCAGAAACAGAGCAGACTCCATTTTGCTATCTTCATGATAACAGATACATAGTTTCTTCTTACTTTCACTGGCCAAGCGATAAGCAATGAAGCAGGGGAATGGAATGCTCTGTCTAAATGTAAAGGAATGCATTTATCTAAACACATACACTAGTGACAGAGAAGACTAAGTAATTAATTTTACTTTCTAAATTTTACAAGGTTCCATTGTAAGTAAGGGTTGAAACTGAGTTTAGAACTGTCAATTTTACAAATTACGATCAATGTAGTTGCCACAAAGACTGGGACAAATGCTTTGAACTGACAGCAAATCTAAGTTATGGTAGTCATTTTAGATAAGCCAAATGATGTCAAAATCGTCATCAGGAAAAGTTAACTCTTTCCTGGATAGGAAGGTTTCGTTAGACGAGACTGCCCTCTATGGATCAAATACCTAAATTGAGATCCATAGGTTGGACACACCTACGGCTTCCTATTGGTTTATCAACTAATGACGTACAAAGAGTCTGGCCCTTTAAAAGTAAGGAGAAAGGGAATACAGAGAATAGAGAGAGAGGGAGTTGAAGTTTGGGGGACTCCAACTCGGACATGCAGAGAAATCCAGGACAATATCTGGGACTAACACTCAACTCTTAAAACTTTTAACACTTAGAATTTTACTGATACTTTCTAACCAACACCAGTTTCTCTATCACTCACGCACTTCCATACAACCAATCAACTTCCTGGGTCTATCTATTCATCTGATGAGAATATCTACATAACTGGAAATTATGCTGGTTTTATTTAATTAATTTAAATTAATTAAAATTTACTAATAGCATGATATATGACTGGATAAATCACGGTCAGATTTCAATATTTAGAAATCTTAGTTAACTAAAGAATATATAGTTATAAACATTCCATTCTGCAGGTGGAATTAAGAATAATTATATATTAATGTGATATTATATATTAATGTGGTGTTAGCATACCGCTGTTTTTATCCAGGTGTATTGATTTGCTCTAAAATAAGATAAGATGTCTTTTTAGGCAAATTAAAATTCTGCTTATAGAATCTGGTAGATTACTCTTATTGGATGGTTCCAGGAAATGACTAATGAGCTGGTTTAAATGTTATTTTAATTGAAAATCACAGGATAATAGTATACTATATGCCTAGGAGGATCTAGCCAGCATTGAAAGGGTCATTCAGTTGACTTAACTGTTAGCCAGGGTTTTATGGCTCTTCGCTGTGAAAAGCTTCACTTTTTGTCTGTAAGGATACCCTCATAAATCTTAAGTGACAGAAAATGATGTTAGCCATTCCATTGTATTGTATACTTATGTTGTACTAAATATTCACTGATTAATATTATGCATGCTGCCTAATATTATTGTTAATTAATTGTTACAATAAAATAAAATCTATTTTTATAACAGATTGTGATTTATTTATGGAATACTTTTCACTTACATTATAAACAATCTCTAAGATCTAAGAGAATTGAAATAGTGGGCAATTCTCGACTGCTTAATATTATCATCCCATAAATATCCCCACAATCCAATTGCAGGAAATCCTGATTTTTTAAATGGTGACAGTGCCTCTATTTTAGCCAGATTATCTGACCCATCCCAACACACTGTATATACCATTCTAGTGGGAGATACAATCCCAAATCTTAAAGATCTGTTGGGTCCAACTAAACCTCCAACTATGTTAGATATTTTCAAATATTCACAATTCTTCTGATTTTTATGGAGGAACGTCTTACAAAAATGGAAACCTAGAGAACTCTTCTTATTTGAGCAATTGTATGAATATGCTATGATACTGAAGGGGACAATAAATGAAGCACTTACGCATTTTCAGAAAAAATGTGAAGCAGACTTAAATATTCATATAACATTTGATGATTGGTATTACATCTTTCAAAACATGATGCAAAATCTGGTTAGATAAGCCAAAAGGGAAACATTTTATAAAAGAGTAACACATTGGTATAAAACTTTTCGTAACTCCATTCATATTTTCCTAGTATCAATGATATGTGTTGGAGATGTGGACAGGAAGTAGGAACTTATGAACATATATGGTGGTCCTGCTCTAATATCCAATAATATTGGAAAGAAGCAGTAGCATATATAAAACAGATACTGTCCCTTTCTTCCACTCTTTTACCCTCACTGATTTTATTAGGATGGACAAATTCGTTTTTTCATCATAGAAATTATTATGATTTTTATTAAGTGAAGCTAATTCTCTTCTACCTGTTTTTTTTTTTTGGAGATAAACTTCATCACCAACTGTGGGTCAGTGGGTAGATAGAGTAGAAGATACAAGAGCCATGGAAGAATTACAGTGGGGAGCAAACAATAAAAAGCAAAAATACTTAAGAATTTGGAAACTCTGGATTAATTTTTGGCAGGATATTTGAAAGATCCAGATTCACCTATCCTCTGCCTTTCACAAATGGATAATCTGAACAAACAAATCAGACTCTTGATCGGTACCTATAATGTTATACTGAACACCTATTATTATTATTATTATTATTGTCATTTATATAGCGCCAACAGATTCCGTAGCGCTTTACAATATTATGAAAGGGGATTTAACTATAAATAGAACAATTACAAATAAACTTACAGGAACAATAGGTTGAAGAGGACCCTGCTCAATCGAGCTTACATTCTATAGGAGGTGGGGTGTAAAACATATTAGGACAGGAATGTGCAATCAAATAAGGTGGGCTGCCCTTTAGGAGAGGGCAAGAGACGGGTATGTGAGGTAAGGGTTAGTCTTGGAGGCCATAAGCTTTCCTAAAGAGATGGGTTTTAAGGCACTTCTTAAAAGATGCAAGACTAGGGGATAGTCGGATGGCGGTAGGCAGGCTATTCCATAGGATAATTGGTTTGGCATATTATTAACTGCCGAATTTGCCTTCAAATTCCTATGTACATAGATCGCATCACAATTCACCTTTCGACAAAAACAATGGTTACCACCCAGACATGCTTCCTGATTAACCCATCAACTGCATAATGATGTCAAATAGAGTTGAGCGGACACCTGGATGTTTGGGTCCGGCGGGTTCGGCCGAACTTTGAAGAAGTCCAGGTTCGGGCTCGAACTTGACCCTGAACTTGAACTCAAACCCGAACCCAATTGAAGTGAATGGGAACCCGAACTTTTGGCCACAAAAATGCCTCTAAGAAATTCCTGGAAAGGGCTAGAGAGTTGCAAAAGGAACTAAAATGGGGGTAAGAGTAGGAAAAGTGCCCTGCAAACAAATGTGGATAGGGAAATCACATAAAAATTTAAAATACAGCTGAGCCATAAAATAGCACTAGATGGAATCTTTGAATTTAGCTTTGGAAGAACATAAATCAAAATCTAAAGCATGGCTGTCAGGAGGATCAACAGAATTATCCATTTGAGAGAGGGTTGGAGTGCAGGGTATTCTCTTTCATTGTTCAAACTGAGCTCAACTCCTGATGCATAGAGAAAATAAACATTTGTGGCCTGCGGTGCATTTCTTGCAGTCCTGATGCATGGAGAAAAGGCATTCACAAGCCTCTGCTAATGTGTACCTAGTTTATACTAAGTAACCCATAGGTTGAGGAGGCAGTGACAGTGGCGGTGGAGGAGGAGGATGAGGTAGCCAACACTGTATTTTATGTTTTTTTTTTTTTTTTATTGTGGTAGCCCACAAGGAGGAGGATGAGGTAGCCAACACTGTATTTTATGTTTTTTTTTTTTTTTTATTGTGGTAGCCCACAAAATATTGGGACATACAAATAAAGAAACATTTGCGGCCTGCGGTGCATTTTTTGCAGTCCTGATGCATGGAGAAAAGGCCTTCAAAAGCCTCTGCTCTGAGGAGGCAGTGACCGTGGTGGTGGAAGAGGAGGATGAGGCAGCCAACACTGTTTTCATATATATATATATATATATATATATATATTTTTTTTTTTTTAATTGGTGTAGCCCCCAAAATATTGGGACATATAAAAAAAGACAACTCTGTTCTGCAGAGTAGTTGTTGACATTATAGTTGTGCAGGAACTTTGATGACTCTAGAGAACCTTGAGCAAATCGCACATCCCCGTGGCAGCGACTTTGCATGCGAATGTCATCCATATCAACTTTCGATGCCAGTTTCTGCACCTACCATGGTGACCACAGGTAACGGGGAACCAGGGTTCCATTCCGTACAGGGACCCTGAGAAACTGCTACCACATGCAAGGAAGGCAGCAGGCGCGCAAATGACCCACATCTGACATCTGAAAAGCACATGAAAAGATGCTGTATGATTTTTTTTAAAAAGAACACATTACATGAAGGTCCTGTTCACTAGAGTGTGTAGTCATGAATGTAACCAGTAAAACTTTGTTGTTTACAGCCACTGGTTGGCCCATACATATTTTAAAACTTGTTTAATTTTGTTGTAGCATGACTTGTAGATATGAAGAGCAGGCCCCAAAATGTACTATTTAGCAGTTTAGCACCAAAACAATTAGAATGTTTACCACTGTGCAGTAACCGCAGTATTAGATGCTTCTATTTGACTCTCAGATATGAAGAACAGGCCGCAAAATTTACTATTTAGCAGATTAGCAGCAAAACAATTAGAATGTTTACAAGTGCGCAGTAAGCGCACTATTTGACGCTTCGATTTGACTCTCAGATATGAAGTGCACCGCAGGCCCTAAAATGTACTATTTAGCAGATTAGCAGCAAAACAATTAGAATGTTTACAAGTGCGCAGTAAGTACACTATTAGACGCTGCGATTTGACTCTCAGATATGAAGAGCAGGCCCCAAAATGTACTATTTAGCAGATTAGCAGCAAAACAATTAGAATATTTACAAATGCGCAGTAAGTACACTTTTAGACACTTCTATTTGACTCTCAGATATGAAGAACAGGCCCCAAAATTTACTATTTAGCAGTTTAGCACCAAAACAATTAGAATATTTACCAGTGTGCACTAAGCCCAGTATTAGACGCTTCAATTTGACTCTTAGATATGAAGAACAGGCACCAAAATGTACTATTTAGCATATTAGCAGCAAAACAATTAGAATGTTTACAAATGCGCAGTAAGCACACTATTAGACACTTCTATTTGACTCTCAGATATAAAGAGCAGGCCACAAAAGGTACTATTGAGCAGATTAGCAGCAAAACAAGTGCGCAGACATAAATAGCAGGCCCCAAAATGTACTATTTAGCAGTTTAGCAGCAAATTAATTAGAATGTTTTCCACTGCACAGTGCACTATTAGACGCTTCTATTTGACTCTCAGATATGAAGTGCACCGCAGGCCCCAAAATGTACTATTTAGCAGATTAGCAGCAAAACAATTAGAATGTTTAGCAGTAAGCACACTATTAGACGCTTCAATTTGACTCTCAGATATGAAAAACAGCCCCCAAAATGTACTATTTAGCAGATTAGCAGCAAAACAATTAGAATGTTTACAAGTGCGTAGTAAGCACACTATTAGATGCTTCGATTTGACTCTCAGATATGAAGAGCAGGCCCCAAAATGTACTATTTAGCAGAAAAACAATTAGAATGTTTACAACTGCGCAGTAAGCACACTATTAGACGCCTCTATTTGACTCTCAGATATGAAGAAAATGCCCCAAAATTTAATATTTAGCAGTGTAGCAGCAAATTAATTAGAATGTTTACCATTGCGCAGTAAGCACACTATTAGAAGCTTCTATTTGTCTCTCAGATATGAAGTGCACCGCAGGCCCCAAAATGTACTATTTATCAGATTAGCAGCAAAACAATTAGAATGTTTACAAGTGCACAGTAAGCACACTATTAGACGCTTCGATTTGACTCTCAGATATGAACAGGCCCCAAAATGTACTATTTAGCAGATTAGCACCCAGAAAATAAGAATGTTTACCACTGCGCAGTAAGCGCACTACTTGACGCTTCTATTTGACTCTCAAAAAAGAAGTGAACCACAGGCCCCAAAATGTACTATTTAGCATATTTGCAGTAAAACAATTAGAATGTTTACAAGTGCGCAGTAAGCACACTATTAGAAGCTTCTATTTGACTCTCAGATATGAAGAGCAGGCCACAAAAATGTACTATTTAGCAATTTACCAGCAAAACAATTAGAATGCCATTAGTAGGCATGGCTGTGATGGCTTCTAAGGGCACAGCCCTGCAGCCTTTGAAAACGTGACATTAAATCGCCAAACACCGAACTCCAACCAGAACATACAGTGATATGTCCATGTTCGGGTCCGGGGTCCAAAAAACCTAATGTTCGGTACGAACCTGAACTTTTCAGTTCGGGTTCGCTCAACTCTAATGTCAAAAATTCACTCATCTACACAAAGGTTTTAACAGACAAAACCCATTATGTAAAAATCTAAAAAAATATACACACACTATACAGGCATGAGCTAAAATCCAAATCCTACTTATTAAATTATACAAAAAGTAAGACTATCAACAAAACAATCAAAAATATCCTGTCCGAAACACAAACTCAGACCTAAATACATGGGACCATGCCAGATCATGTCTGTCCATTATCCTCTCAAAGTACGACTACCAAACTCTTTAAATGTGCACTCAGTATTTCATGTGTCCTTGCTGAAGCCCTACATCCCTACATTAAAAACTGCTTTTCTGGTGATCAACCTTCCTCTCCTGGACTTACCCATTTCAGTGAGGTTTAAAAAGAAATTGCAAACTAACATATGTGTCATAGACACTTAGAATGCCTCATCCTTTGAAACAATTATGGGCCAGATGAACAATCTTGGGAACTTACTCCAATGCACATGTAACATATACTAAGAGTGTTTCATGATAATGTGAAAGCTGGTCATCCTGGTATAAATAAAACTACGTCCGCTGTTACCAGATCGTTTTAGTGGCCATCTCTTAGAAAGGACATTAGAGAATATGTAGAAGCATGTACTATTTGTGTGGTTTCTAAGGTACCTCATAAACAGCAATGTGGGTTATTGCAACCACTTCCAATACCCAATATTCCATGGTCCCAATTAGCGATGAACTTTATTGTGTAACTCCCAATTTAAAATGCTATAACACCATTCTAATGGTTGTTGATCATTTTTCTAAAATGGCACATTTTGTTCCACTCAAGAAGTTACCTTCCTCCCAAGAACTAGTTAATATATTCATACGTGAAATATTCTGGTTGCATGGTATTCCGCAGAATATTGATTCTGACAGGGGCTCTCAGTTTGTGTCTCAGTTTTGGACAGCATTCAATAAACAATTGGGTATTGAATTATAATTTTCATCTTCTTATACTCAAACCAATGGTGCTGCTGAAAGGGCTTACCAATCTTTGGAACAGTATTTATGGTGCTTTATAAATAGCACACAGGAGAACTGGTCAGATCTACTGCCATGGGCTGAATTTGCTAGGAATAACTACCCATGATTCCTCTGGTCTAAGTCCGTCCTTTGTCAACAATGGTCAACATACCACTATCCTCCCTGCTGTATTCTCTAGTAGTGATGTACTGAACGGTTCGCCGGCGAACGGTTCCTGGCGAACATAGCATGTTCGCGTTCGCCACAGCGGGCGAACATATGCGCGGTTCGACCCGCCCCCTATTCGTCATCATTGAGTAAACTTTGACCCTGTACCTCACAGTCAGCAGACACATTCCAGCCAATTAGCAGCACACCCTCCCTAGCAGACCCTCCCACCTCCTGGAAGGCATCCATTTTAGATTCATTCTCAAGCTGCATGCTTAGTAAGAGGAGGGAAAGTGTAGCTGCTGTTCATAAGATAGGGAAAAGCATAGCTAGGTTAGGGATAAGGGTATGCTTTTTTTTTATTTTTTTTTTCTATGTAATGTAAATGCACTTAGTTGTCTGCCACTGCTGCCAGCTTCTGTGTCAGGCTCACAGTGCCCATTTCCCCAGTCAGTGCCACCAATTACATCTGGTGTCACAATAGCTTGGATTTAAAAACAAAAAACTTTTTTCACTGTTATAGATTGAATAGCAGTCAGTTGTCTGCCACTGCTGCCAGCTTCTGTGTCAGGCTCACAGTGCCCATTTCCCCAGTCAGTGCCACCAATTACATCTGGTGTCACAATAGCTTGGATTTAAAAACAAAAAACTTTTTCACTGTTATAGATTGAATAGCAGTCAGTTGTCTGCCACTGCTGCCAGCTTCTGTGTCAGGCTCA